AGATCGAGAGCTATACACTTTTATCAAAGACTTTTGATTAAACATGCAAACAAAGGTCTCTGACTTTTAAAACGATAAAAGGAAATATATATATGTATGTATATAAAATAAATAAGGAGATAAATATTTTGACTCAAGGATTTTAAAGTAAGCGTTACAAAAGCCTTGTTTTATTCTTTAAAATTCATTGGGAAAATAATCGCGGGAAAACGATTTATCCTTGAGTTAACTGCATTTTCAGATTTATTTATAATTTTTGCGCTCACTTGTTTATTTATTGACTTCAAACAGAGTATAACTATTCTAATATAAACCACTCTTCCAAAAAAGCAATTTTCATTTTAAGAAATTAAAATTTCAATCATCCCAAGACATTTTTAATTCTCTGAATGGTAAAAAGAGTGAATTGTATTGTCACATGCCTGAAAACGTTAAAATTTCTGTGTCTTTTCAAATATCTTGTCTATGACGAAACTACATGCGTAACAAGTAATTAGCACAGTCTGAATAAAAACAGAGCAAATTCCCAGACAACAGTCTAAGCAATGTTTATAACAAAAGTATAGTAAACTGTGAAAGCATGCAGGCTTATACCCGTATCAATTTTCCGAATAATTCGTGTGTTATTCAGTGTAGGTGTTCGTCATATTATTGTTTACTATCTATTATATACATGTATTTCAAATTATCGCCTTTAATTCTTTGTGTCGCACGACAATTATAATTATGAATCACCTACAATCTAATGATAAAAGTACATTGTACAATAAAATGACATTCATTTTTGGTAACATTCACTGAAAACATCTTTTACAAAATCAGAAAATGACATTTATTTTATCTAGTAAAATATTATACACATGCGTCTGACGCTGTGGTATCTTTTATTTCAAGTTCAATTTGGTATATCGAGTAAACATATGAAGTAACGATTTTCAATTGATAATATCACAAAATCGAGTTGAAGCCAAAGCGAGTGTTTTCGTCTTTTCGTGTATACGTTTTTGAATACATATTTTTGTGTCATATAAATTACACAAACGTCGGGAAAAACAGGGTTTAAATGTAACAATGGAATTCCTATAAATTATTGGAGACCTGTTCTCCGTAAAAACATAGATACTTAACATCAATTTAGAGTGCTTGTACAAATGTACAATCATAAAATGTGTAGCAAATTAAGTATGCAGATGATCAATTAAAAGGAAAATTAATCAACTAATTCAATTTTTATGCAAAAATGTCTCTATGTATGATGACAAAAGTTTTAAAATTTAATTCTTCATTGGAAATTGTGGTATAAATGGTTCAACAGTCGTACGTTTTGATTTTGGTAAATTTTTTCGATTTTAAATTATTTTAATGTTCTTTTAGCGTACACAATTTCCAGAATATATTGTAAACTTTTCATAGAGTTTCCCCTTCACTGTTGTTGATCCTTTAGTAATTAGTAAAGAAAGACTATTCGTAAAGCATTTGCTGGAACCTGCTTTGTATATTTGTTTGCTTTACTTTAGACGTTTATGAATCCAGAAAAGATATGGTAATTCAAATCCATTTTATTGGTTAAGAATATTAAAAATATCAAAAACTTATGAATTTGAAGAATTCCCTTCTAAAAAAGGAGTTAATGGTAAATGTTTCATTATCCCTTGCATAATTAAACCTACGTTCCTCTAAAGTACATGAAACCAATGAGTTTAAGCTTGTACATTTCAATTCAGAATATCAGAAATTTACTTGAAGACTCGGATATGCCAATAAAAATTCAAATGATCTCATAAAAGAAAACATTTCATTGATTGAACGTCATTATATATCAGAGGATAAAACTTTATTGATGTCAACTGCAACAATAATAATCGTAAACGTAGCTATCAGGTCGCCCGCGCGACGAAGTAGTTAGAGCGTATGCTCTGGAGTGGCTAAGTAAAGAGTTGATCCTTATGTCATGGGTTCGAATCCCACTGTGGGAGGTGGAAAAGGGTCTTTTGGATAAAACAGTATAAACCGAGGACCCGATTCGCAGTAGGTGCTGGCACAAAAAGATCCCTCCCTGTTCAATGGCCTTTAGTGCCTAGAATAGGATGAAATATGCAGCTCTCCATCAGCAAGTGGTGGCGTCTCCATATGAGTGAAAAATTCCCAAGAGGGACGTTAATCAACATACATACAAACAGATAAACTTAGCTATCCGTGATTTCACAAATTTACAATTAAAACATCCTTCCTTATGAGAGAATGGCAATAAAATTGCATTTATTTATATAATTTAAACTGTCTTAACGTTAAAGTACAGTTATTCACATATATGCATGGAATATGTATATGAAGATAAGCTCAAAAGACCATTTACCCATACAAAATAGGAGCAGAGAAAACAAAGATCCCCAAAACATCAGAAGTGGGATCAGATGGAGGAGTGAGCATATTCTGCATGGTCACATCCGCCGTGTGTTCCTTGTAATGACTTGGGAAATATCGGGAAAATCTGTCGACTATTCAGTGTGTAAATTATGACATAACAATATGTATGAAAAACGTCCGTCAGTATAGGAAAAATTGTATTCGATGACAAGGTCTTTGTATCGACCGTAGAACTTACGAAATTATTACTTCAAAGGAGATGCCGAGATCCTTTTTCAGCAGCTGGGTTGTCTGTAACTTATCTTTTTTTAAAAATTGTACATACGTAGATCATGCTCTTGCGTATCAAATCAGTTGAAAGGTATAAGCCCCGTATGCAAGTGATGGAAGTATATTGCTGCATAAGTGAGGGAAGTTTACAATTGAAACGTTAAAGTAATCTCGTATGTCTTACAACTTGGCTGTCCATAAACGTTCTTTTCAAATGTAACATCTTAAGCACCCTCTCTACACAAGTGCAAAGTACTTTTTGGACATGGAGAAAAATATATTGTATAACTATAAAGGAGTTAATATTGAGCCTATTTATTTAATTTTCACCATGTGGTGCGTGGCATTTACCCCCGGGAAAAATGTTCAAAGACAACACTGTATAAGTGAATAGAAATCACTGTTAATTACTTCAATGGAAAAAATACATGTAAAAAACACGTTCATATTATCGCCTTTTAAAATGTTTGAATACTTTAATTCATTACAAATTGAGTAATATATTGTAAATTTTTATTTTTTGGTTAATTGACAATACCAGAAAAAGTCTTAGAATCAGAACTCTTTATGCAGTGTGTGGGAGGTTGATCTTTGATTTACATGGCATATAGTTGATATAAAGTGGAAATGACCATTGTTAATTTAATGCTGTTGATGTATATAAAGTTGTAAAAAAAAATTTTGTAAAAATTTGAGGCTACAAATTTTCCAAAAAATTCTTGGAATTTTTAAGTATCCACATCTAGTTAACATCACTTCTAGATAACATTTTTGCACAGTTTTACTGAAGTTTCTCCTTCACTAAGGTTAATATTTTAACATAGTGAGGAACGTATAATAAAGAAAAAGAGACCGTTGTTTTGTTGAGCTGAAAATTTTATTGTTGAATACATGTAATGTTTCTTTGGTTAGAAAAATAACATTACAGGAAAAAATGAAAATCTTACAAGTATAAAAGATAGGAAACTTTTTCATTCAATTTTTTTTTATTGAAGACTTTACAAAACAATTGTCATATTCAGAGGAACAACTTCATCTACTATTCGTTATAATGCCGTTTGAAGAATTGCTGACTTATTAATTATCATTGAATAAACCATCAACTAGACATGTCGAAATGATTTGAACAATGTCTAGAAAAAATAAATCAAATGTGTTGTGAATTACAGGGAGTGGCTGTAAGTGTTTACTTGTATTCTAAGACATGTACATTAGTACGCTTTACTGTAATAAACATCATCCAATTCTTCGTCTGTTTATATTGCGTCTCATACATCCCCACATTGAATGAAACGAAAGAAATTACATAGAATTTCCAGCAAAATGTTGCATTGAAATTTGTTATAAAAAAAAAATAAATTCTACTTTTATTGTTTATGTACATATTTACGTAGAAAATATTTTTTTCACATCTTATGAAGTAAAATATTACTGTTTATCACTCAAAAATTGTAAATTAAACAAAAATTGGCATTTTGCAACATAATTTTTTTTAAATGGACGATGCATTCAATTTAGGAATTAATTAGTTCTTTTTTCGATTAAAATCATATGTTTTTTTATCATTTGACCTTTTATTTATTTTTCATAGATTTCAGGTGGAAAAATTATTTACGGTATATTCGTCATTTTCTCGAAGAAAAACGCTTTTCTTGATGCTATGTAGACAACCCCGTTCATCAAAACATCTAAAATTCAAATTTTCACTCAAAGAATTTGTTCCTACATTAACTTGTGTGTGATGTGCATGTATGTTATAAGTAAGATACAAACCATTATTAAATTGAAAATCTTGCGGAAAGAAAATGGATCTGACAAAATGATTAAGAAATAATACAATGCAGACATTCAGGTCTTCTTTTTAAGTGAAATCAATGCTACTTTACTTAACTTTATTTAATTAAATATTTCAAAAATTCATTATATGTGTTCGTTTCATAACGACGCCTTACTCACTAATTAATTCTAAATCAAAATTTGCGGGGAAAAAATATTTATAGCAAAAATATGGCCGTATTCTGCAGAAAAAAATATGAGCATCCAATACGCTTAGTAGTATTTGAAAATACACAGTAAAGACATATTAATCAAAATGGACGGAGTCAGATAATATACATACATGTATAGATTTATATGTATGAATATAATTTTTAAAATCAATCTGGGAAGAAAGTTTTGATAAAAAAAATATGGAATAGGATAAAGTTGACTGATTTGTACAATCAAACATTAGAACACACCATGTCTGTTAATTTTTGGACTTGTTGTTAAGGTTAATAGGAATGTCTAAAAGCTTGTCAATATCCGGTGGTATATATTTCTTCAGAAGTTCCCTTGTACAGCTCCAAAGAAAATTTTGATATTCAGGATCTCTAGAGAAAAATCAAAAGCAAACAATTACATAATTACGTAAACTCTGACTTGAATGTAATGTTTGCATCTCCATGCAGATGCCTCGATAATATTATAATATTTTAGTCGAAACTATATATATAAAAAGTTAATAATTGTGCCTTGATTCAAAATTTATAACAATGTTTGTAAATAAATTGTTACGTTATTATTTAATAATTATATAGTATTTGTAATCTTGAAAATAAAAGATGAGGAGACAAGAAATATTAACGAAACTAATAAAAGAATTCGAAAGTGCACAATTTACTTCAATTTGTAATACTCTGTCATGCCTTTCCCTCTCATTTAAATTGTTTCGTAAACTTTTAAGACAATATTTCTTTGATGTATCTTACGCAAGTAATTAATAAATAATCAAAGTACTGAAACTGAATACGACAAAAATTGGACATGACATAAAATAAGGCATAAAGTTTGTAAGTTAATAAATCTCTCTTTGCAAGATCATCATGAAAATTCTTTAAAGATTAATTTTTAAAAATAATTTGTTTTACTGGGCCAGCTGGGTGCAGACTAACGTGTAAGAACAGAGGAAATTGAATGTTTGTAATATCCAAACTGTGAAACATTTATACCAATAAGTCCTTTGGGAATAAATAAATAAATAAATAAATAATAACGTAAAGCATAAAACCCGTGTGTGAAATCTTTAATGTTTTTGACCTAAAATTGCACTAAGTTATTAAAAGAATATTTTAAAAGATTTTAAATATAAAATTAGAGATTAATCTTTAGAAATACAGTTCTAATAAAAACTCAATAAAAAGCATAAAAAATATTTTGATGAATGCCATTTAAATCGTGAAAACCTATTTTCATGGATAGAGATACTATGAGCTACATTTTTTCTCTAATCAAGTTAATAATAATAGGCTGTATATAGCGTTTTTTTTTTGTTTTTTGTTTTTTTTTTCAATATATATATATATATATTTTACATAATACATAATTTTACATACAAATTTTAATTTAACTTTTATTTTAATTTTACCAAAGCAATCCATGCAAAACTTTCGAACCCCTGGCTGCCCTTCTGGTAGTGCATTCCTGAACAGTTCCGTGTCTACGGTTCCAGGATTTACGCAGCAAACTTCCACATCCGAATCAAGAAGAATCTTATCAACATAGTACATTTGCATAATCTGTAAACATATGACTGCTTTTATCCAATCATCCTTTTTGATCATTTACATTTTTCATGAATCAATAAATATACAGTAAACATTAAGCAATTCAATAAATTTATATCAAGAAAAGATGATTTCATCTTAAACTAACCTGAAAGAGCTTCGTATTGTTATATATGGAGTCGGCGTCAAAAGGACTTGTTTTACCGTTTTCGGCGAGATTAACGTCAAACTTTGCTTTATGGTGTGCTTCACTGCAAACAAATACGATGCGACAGTCCTTTCCCGATTTCGTCAAAAGAGGAATCAGATGAGCGACAATAAGAAAATGTCCCAGATAATTCACCTGTAAGGTATTTCGAAACAATAGATAATTGAAAGTAAAATAAATTTACATTGCAATTTACTCGTAACTGTATACTTTTACTTATACAGTGTAGAGTGACTTACAAGTAACATATATTTGAAAACAAGTCGATGTTGCTTTCATATGTTTATTAATTTCTATTTTTGTAAATATTTTAAAATTCCGCCTTGTCCTTTTCATTTTTATGTTTTGATTTCTTTTTTCTTATTCTAAATCAGTAAAAGATGTAATCGTAACCTTTACAGAGTAGACACTTATGGCTTATGATAGTAAAAAAAATTGAGAGAGCTTCAAGTTACAAAAAAGAAAAAACAAATTTACTTGCGTTTCAATTAAACGAATTTAATGAAACAAATGGATCTAAAGATTTCGATCTCATAAAAACTACAAGCAATACAATTCTGTAAACGGGACATAACGCCAACTCCTGGAAATACTAGATGTCAGATCAGATGATCCTGTTGATCAGTCGCAACCGTCATGAACCCTACGTTTGATCAAGTGAACGGAACAGTTTATAGTCAAATTAAGTGTACATTTAAAACAAATGCTTAACTTTTGTATGGAACAAGTCGAAATACAACCTAGAAATAGTTTTGTGTATTTTGCTGATAAGTTCATTATAACGACTTTAAAATTTACGAAATGCTAACTTGAAAAGAATTTGTTGAAATTCTTGTAACAGTAACTTATATATATGAATAGCTGCATTGGTTTATGAATTGATCGTATAAGGCTCTTGGGTAGAGAATAAGTTGGAAAATAAACGCCATATGCAGGTAGTAGCGGACCATTACTACATTTGGAAAAGTTGAAGATATTTCGTTAGTCTTACAATTCAGTCGTTAGTTGGCCTATTCGTCTATATATTCAATAAAATATCCAAATATAAAACAGATAAGACAGACTCTGTGTTATCTTTTATTTTAAGTCCACTGGCAGATAGAAAGTTGAGATCGAGACATAAACAGATGAAAAGGCGCACCTGATATTTCGTACAAATTTTTCTGTGACTGAAGATGCATGTAGAGAGAAAAAATGACAAACATTCTTCTTATTATACCTTAAATTTAAGTGATAAACTTGAGATAACTTTTTTATGCAACAGGATAACTTAAAAAAAGATACACTTTTATTTTTTTTTACCTGATATGTCAACTCAAAATTATCTTCCGTCATCACTAAAAAAGAAAAAAAAAGAAATCTGTTAGTTTCTGTGAAAGAATATAAACATCTTTCCTTTCTAAAAGTTTTAAAACTTTTGTGAATTTTATTATAAAAGACAAAATGACAAAAAATCCATAAAGCAGGAGGAATTTTACCATTTTTCATTTTGCAAAACAAATGTTTTTTTAAAGTTTATATTACATCTAAATTGTAGAGCTAACATATTCTGATTTTTTTTTTAATAATAACATGCTATGTAAAAAAATATTACTAATATTTTCAGTCTATTTCATTTTGAGACCTTAAGAAAAAATTCTTAAGAATTACACTTTTCTAAAAGCAAATTAGAATAACAGAAAAGAATTTTAAGCAAATTAAAGTAATAAACTTATGATAACTATGTTATGTAACAGGATAATTTAAAAATATATATAAGTGTATTTTTATTACCTGATATGTCAACTCAAAATTTTATTTTTGAAATCTGTTAGCGTCTGCGAAAGAATAAAAAATATTTCCTTTCTCTTCTACTTTTGTTAGTTTTATAAAAGACAATGAACTAAAGAGCAGAAGAAACTACATTGTATATATTCATTTTGCAAAAGATATGTTTTTTTTCTCAATTATATGCATTTAAATTATAATTGTTAAATGTTTTTGATAATAACATAACTTTTAGTAACAACATGCTGTAAGTAAATAAATTCTTATTAATATTAGATAAGACCTTATGCAATAATATACCAACAATAACATTCAAAATCAATTGAATCATAATGATAAAGCAAATTAAAGCTATAAACTCAACACAAAATCTTTTATGTCTGAGAAACAGACTGAACATTACTAATAGAGGCACGGAGTTTAAATATATAAATTAGTTGTATGATTTTATTCTCGACATTGCATTTGCAGTTGTAAGCCTAATATGGCCATGCATTCATTCATTTTTTTTAATGTATTATTTCAACATAGGCCAATTTTTCAGTAGCTATTGAAACAGTTACACATTACTTTAACATTATGACAGTTAATAATTTACTAATCATTTGTGGAAAATGAGCAATTTGAAATATTTACACTAAGTTTAACTTGATATCTCTCTTGTTTAATTGAGTTTAATTTGACACATAGAGTATTGAATGGCTGATCTTTATTAGTTATGCGGAGGAATGTTGTCAAGAAAGTTGCATTGCTGAAATATGCATATCCTTGTGCATTGTATTGTCGATGTCATATGTATAGCTTTCTGTTGCAAGGGAGAAAATTTAAATTACTTATCACCTCTGTTTTACCTAAACTCAATATCTAGAATTATGTTGTATTGCTGTATACTTATATGTTTTCTTGCCCTATTGAGTGATTGTTAATCATACTTACTAGTATCTACATTATGCCTCTAGTGGGATATTAGTGGCAAAATTCTGTTCTTTATAGAGCAGAGAAAGGATACTTAAAATGCACCTCTCTCTCTCTCTCTCTCTCTCTCTCTCTCTCTCTCTCTCTCTCCTCACCTTTATTTTTAGAGTAAACACCAGCATTGCAAATAAGGAGATTCAGTCGGTTGTATTTGGCTTTGAATGTGTTGATGAAATTCATTGTGGATTCCAAAGAGGCCAAATCTAACTTCATGAATTCTACAGCTAGATGGTCATCTCTTATTATGTTCATTGAGTTACGTCTTTTCTCCTCTTGAAATTCTGCATCCATTCGCCTCATTGCCTTTAAAATAAATAAAACAAAAATAAATATGCAAGAGAGTGTTAATCTTGGAGACATCTTAAAATATGTGCTTGTTTTAAAACTTCGTGTTTTCTAAAAAGAAAATGCAAATTTTTTAAACCTTCAAATAGTATGTTCTTTTGTCAAGGTAAACCAAAAAAAGATTTTGATCTACAACTTTTTCTGACCTTTATAGACCAAACTGTACTATTTTCGTATACAACCTTGAATAAATTATATGTATTAACAAAAAAATGTTTATTTTCATTAATATCATCTCTTTTTTCGTGAAATGATATATTCTTGCTGACATTAACACACCTTAAATGTTTGATACTACTTAATTAAATGTGTCTTATAATATTTTGTGTATCTATGAAAATAATTGTCATCATAACTAAGTCAGTTGTACCGTTTATGAATATTGATATCATCAGGTCTGACAGAAACATAAACGTTCTACTAGCAGCAATTTTACTACAATAGCATCGATTATTTACAATTGTGGATATCACATTATTTATCCATGTGTTGTTGTTTCATTAATTAACTTTGAAATTTTGATTTTGAGGCAAAAATGTATCTATAAATGTTTATGCATAATGTATTAGTTCTAATGAATAGGGATTTGGATTTTAGTCATATTAAGAAGAATAGATTTTATGGCCAACGCGCTATAAATATGCATAAACCACAAAAACTTTTGACAGCAATTGATTTTTGATGTTACTCCATAACAACATTATTTGTGATAAAATCGACAACAAATTCAGGCTTTAAATTTCAAAAAATAATCCACTCAACTATTGTGTTTTATCTGTAAGAGCAGGTAAAATTATACAGTATTTAAACAAATTTAGAGTATTCTTTATCTATTTTACATCGCTTTCATTTAAATTCTTTCATAATGCATACCTCGTTCGCTTTCTGTTCATCTCTGCAAGCCAGAACCACTTTAGCTCCCATCATTGCGATGTACTTAGCTGTTTCATAACCGATTCCTGAAATACACAAATGTCCATGTAAGACTTTATCAATATAATGCTTAATATTCAACGATCAGGCACGCAGATGGGAAGCCTGCTTGAAACAAATCGTTGATATGCCATAAAAACAGAAAATAAGAAATTGTGCCTTATTGATAAAGGGTCCTACACAATAATTGTATTCACATCAAAAGATTTGGCCATATTGCATAAAAAATTGACACAACGTTATTTTAACAAAAAAAGGCTTACTTTTGAAAATAAAGAATCACCCAGCGGAATTTAAAGTGTTTGAAAGATAACATGATCAGAATGAATATCTATCATCTATATAATGCAAAACTGCATAGAGAAAAATAGTCCACAGTTAAATTTAACTATATTAAGTATTTGTATTGAAAAAAAAAAAGATTATTCTTTGTTCTATTTCCTGTTTGTTTGTTTGTTCAACATCCCTTTTGAGTATTGTTCACTGATAATAACACATGCCGTTGGATATCTTAAAATTGAAATCTATACTCGTCACTCGAGGCCTTTTGAGGCAGTGAGGATATCTTTTAGTGCCAGCATCTGTGTACTTTTTCATGTTACAAATGTTTTTACAATCTCATCTAAAGGATCAGTCTCCATATCCCCAGTGGAAAAATGAAATTACTTATTGATAATATTTTAATATTTAAAATTTATTCTATGGAATTGACAATACGTACAAACGGTTTACATCACAAACATGTTTTACTTGTGTGTCCTGAACAGCATTTCATATAGTAAAAATGTTTATTTTGAATCTATTTTGCATTTGTGAACTATTTAAACGCACATTTAGGCAATATATGAATTGCTTCTAAATAATGACATAAACAAAAGATATAATGAACTATCAAAATTTCCCATTTTTTAAATTCATGATGAATAACATATTAAAGTACTATACTGCTTCGCTTTTTCATAATTATTAATAATCTTAATTTTAAAACAGGGAAGGTATTTAATGAATTTAGTTTAATTTTTGTCGAACCCTTTCATAGGAATAGAAATTAGTTCTAGTTAGAGTTCTTTCATTTCTAAATTGGTGTTATATAAATGGAAAAGGCTTGGTCTTCTTAATTTGATAGTTATAGAGTAACTCTGTAGTGCAAAGTTCGAATGAAATGTCTGTTTCATTGTCTGATTCATGATTATCTATTCTTTTTTAATGTGAATTTAATTAGTTTACCAAAGCATGTTAGGTTAAATATTTTTCATGTGTATAAGCGTTATTAATTTGATGCAAAGTTTTAATAAAGCGGTTTTTTACCAAAGCATTTATTGTCTAGTTTAAAATACAATGTTTACATAGAACAATCCCTGTCAGGAAACGTTACGTATAGCAATTCACCGAGACGTAAGTAATCAAACATTGCCCTTGACTCTTAAAATTCACATATGTATGATTTCATTCAACATGTCTCATTTTTGAATAAAAGGTCTATTATTACCATTGGTAGATTTATCCATTTAGCATCAAATTCTTATTTTAATGGTCTTTAATAACTATTATATGCTCTGAAATATTCTGTATTGATAGCGGTGGCCTATAAAAGACTAAAACGTCAACCGTGCTTTAAAGGTATTCAAGAGAGAAAGATACTGAGACCATAGTTTCTATACGTGTGTCAGGGGGTATCGTAACTCTAAACAACCAGTATTTTAATTGAGTTGTCACCAAGAATAGACAATTAAAGCTATTCAAGAAAACTTGATGGTCATTGTTTATTGGATATATTTATGACATATATGTTTTATGGAATATTTGAGAAGTGAACGTACACTTTCATAGGCTGCCGACTCTACTTTTTCATGGCAATTTTATCGTATTAAATTAATCCTTTAAATGATTGCTGGATTTGGGAATTAAAGCATTAGGCATTTAGAGATTTCCTTATTCCAATAAGTAAGCTTTACAAGGAAAGTGTTAAAGTGCAAATGTATTATGGTATCAAACATATAATCTTTTTATTGACTTCTTTTCCTATTCAAAATATTGATTACTTTTTTTGGAAGCAGATCCAAAATTAGTATTGAATTCTGTAAACTGAACTCATTAATGTGTCTCTTGTTTACTTAAGAACCACTTGCAATTATAGTTCTGTCAGTGCTTCAAGTTTCCACTATATCGGAAATAGAAGGGATGTTTAATAAATATTGGTGAAAGATAGGTACATGAATGTTAAATCGATATTCTTTCCCTCAAAATAATATGGCAATACCGCAAGGTTTATATGTGTTGATCACGATGTTGGTTGTAAATGAATTGCCCATAATTCTATTTTTGATGTTAATAATTTATATGCTTGCTTACTGAACGAAAGGATAAAATAACACATAATTGACTATGCAAATGTGGAAAAAAAATGTCAAATTGAAATTATTGTGTACATATCTTACCTGAATTTGCACCAGTTACTATGACAACCGTATCCCGTGGTAATTGCACCACTGGGATACTGGGTTTAGCTCCCATATTTCTGTCACAGTTTCAACAACGACATCCAAACATATGAAATAGGCCAGGAAATATAAATCAAAACTGTCACAACACCCTTAATTAAAGAACTAAAGAACATGCAAGGTCGAAATAAAATCCAAAAAGATAACTAGTTCTAGGAACTTCACATTTTGTGTGTTTTCTGTACCTATTTCTTCATTACTGATTAAAACGTACGAACATGGTAGTGCATTGATCCCTGTCATTTGTAAATACCCTCGATAGATTCATGAAATAACAGTAAGCTTTCCGTGCTGGATCAGTGATTTTTTCCAATAGCTCGTCTAAACAAGCTCACAGTTTTAGCAGGTACAGCATTTAAATTCTCGTAATAACCTAAGACGAAATGTACACTGTGGTTTAATTTGCGACCATTTAGCGACATAAAATTAGACAGGGATAACGAACTGATTTTATTAAATGTATGTTAAAGTTCGGGTTATTTTCCGTTCGGCGGCTTTTATTCAAGCATTTTCAATATTTGTTTTTAACTATAAAGGAGAAATGAACTACGTGTGTTGGGTATTTTCTTATACAATTCTCGCTAGCAAGCAATTTACGAAATATGTACTCGTGTCATGTACTGCACTGGAATTTAAATGTGAAAATGAAAATTTGGATCGGAAATACTTATGAAACTGGCAAATGATTTCATATTGTCAGTTTTTTTTTTTACATAAAAGTTTTTCTTCATCCTTGAAGAGGGAAATACTGTTACATTTGTGAAAATGAAAATATGAAACACTTATGAAAATGGCAAATGATTTAATGTTGTCAGTTTTTAATGTTGAAACCTTTATCTTTCGTCATCTTTAAACAGGAACATTAAATACTAGTCAACTTCACTTGTTAAATCTGTTTAAGATATTTATATAAATCGCCAGAAAACCAACCTGTTTCTTCTTTTATGTTTAAATATTTAGAAAATAGATTATTACACTTCTTTTAAAATGTTTAATAGAAAATTCAGGAGATAAAAAAAATTGTTTTATATTTTGATAATTCTATATAGAGAAAATCTATAACCTGGAACTTAATATATGCACGTGTTAATTTACTCGTGTAAGTAGTATTTGACAAAATTCTGCTTTCTAGGAAGCTATTCCAGGAGAATCAAAGAAGTGAAATATATGGAGATAATTAACAGTATTTTAGCTCAAAAATCCTTTAATGAAACATATGGAGATAACAAACAGTATTCAAGATCAAAAGTCCATAAATAAAACATATGGAGATAACGAAAAGTATTCAAAATCAAAAGTCCTTAAAACAATACAAAATAGGAGCCGAGCAAAAACAAGCAATTAAAACATCAAAGTTGGAATTAGGTACCATGAAGGAGTGAGCATAACCTGCTAACTCGTCACATCCGCTGTGTGCTCATTGTCATGATCGGGAAATAACAGGAAAATCCGTCGTCAATTCAGTGTATAAATAATGGACTAACAATTATTACGAAAAACGTTAGTCAGAATTTGACTCAATGATAAATTGTATTTGTTGACAAGGTCATTGTATCAACCACAGAACTTATGAAAAGATTACTTTAAACGTGACTGCTGATATTCTAGTTTCACCAACTTGTTTTTTCAATATTTACCTCGTTTTAGAAATTGTTCATACAAAGAGCTTGCTCTTGTGTATCGAATCAACTGATATATACACTGTATAAACTCCGCATGCAGGTGATGAAGGGTTTACTGCTGCATAAGTAAGGTAAGTTAACAATAGAAAAGTTAAAGTCATCATGTTTATCATAGAGCTTGATTGTTAGATTACCATGAACGTCTTTTTCAAGTAAAATATCCAAATATTAAAAACAGATATGTCAGACTCTGTGGTATCTTTAATTTCAAGCTTACCAGGATATATAGTATTGACATAAGAATGGAAATTACCACCGTTAATTGACAATACGTCGTCGATATATCTAAATGTGGAGATGAAGGGTACCAACATACAGAATAGGATCAGAGCAAGCAAACTTTGTGTTGTGTAATATCTTAGGTTTACTGGGATATATCGAGTTGACATATGAATGAAAATATATTGTTAATTGATAAAACATCGTTGATATATCAGAGAACGAAAAAGAAAAAAATCATGAGAAAATCTTTTTCTTTCCCTTTTTTGCGGGTTTTATTGTTTAATAAAAAAAAACATTAAATCTTGTCTGAAAACTTTCTGTTAATCTTGGTCATTATACCATATCACGAAAAAAAAGATTAACTTTGAAGATAATTTATTGATTTGTTTCTATAGAGATATATGTTTATGTACATCAAACTTTACATTGGTAAAGAAAAACATAAATATAGCACTATACTGAATGATGATATGTACACTGAATGTTGAATACTGTTACAAAATACAATACAATAAATTTTCTTTTCTGTATCATAACAGTATATTCGTGATATACCAGTTACATTGATTTGCTTTTACAGTTTCTTTCACTTAAAAAATACAGAAATATTATTTCGTCGATAGTGAATATTCATTATTCTTGGTTTTATACAAATTTAAACTTCTTTACAAGTGTTAACTTGCAATCTTGACTATTTTAAAAAATGATACGTGAAATATATCAACATACCAGTAATAAAATAATGTATAATGACAACAGACTGGTGATAATTTTTGGACATACTCTGTAGAATTTTCTTATACCCGTTTTCTCCAGTCATCACTTATGTAAGAACAACACTTGGCGAAAGTTTTGCATTTTCTCCATAGGAATTGATTATCGACACAGAACTTGTTCATTCCTTCGAAAACAAAATTTGAACAAGTAACTTTTGATTCCTAGAACTCCTAAATGCTAGAATTTCTCGAAAGTAATTTCCAATCACAAGAAGTTCCAACAATCACTGCCGTTCCCATAGAGCGAAGTCCATTACATGTACAGAATTGATGTGGATGAACTTGCTTGAATGATTACATCACCATCTTTGTTCTTTGGATGTTCTGGAAAGAATAATGTAGGAAAATTAAGAATCAATTGATTTTTATTCTCTTGTGCATGCTGTGTGTGTTGATGTTATCTTGTTGAACAAATAGAAAAATTAACTCTGTTCATTTTTTTTTTATTTCCCTTCAAATCTAAAACTATTTAATTTTAAAAGTCGTTCAGCCAGAATATACATTGTACATGTACATATCTAATTAACATAGACAATTGTAAGAAGTAGATCAGATCTTATCAAATCTCTAAAGCGACCGCTGACCTAGAAATGCCAAGAGGGAAGGATACAATGTCCAATTAGACACATAAATCATACACCAGTATTGTCATGACCAGAAGATTGTCAAAGAAGCTACATATTTTGACGTCTTATTTCATTAACGCATTACAAAATCGCCCTACAAGGCCAATGCAATCCCCCGATTTTGCGAATAAATTGCAAACTACTTATCAATTGGGGTACATTTTGATATGGTGTGGTTGAAACAAGAATTGGGCAACTTTTTTAAAACCCTATTTACCAATATCTTTTCTGTTAATCAAGATATTTTAATCTTTGCCCACCCAGTGGTAATATGAGGGTTTTTTTTACCTTTCCTTACGATGTTAATGATAATACAACTGATACATATCGTACTCAGACTAGACAAAGGATATGACAAAACTCTTCCAAAATTAATTAACCAGAAAAAATGACGATTGTTAATAGTATCTGTTAAAGGTAATTATAGTTGTATATAGTGTATTGGAAATTAAGCAGTTACATAAGATAGTTGGTATCTCGTAAGTCTGGAGTTAAGTTAATACAATATTAGGCAAGGTTTACGTTTTAAACTAGATATAATCTAAGCAAGAGGTATAAAAATACTCTTTTAGAATTTGATTTAGTGTTTCGAAACAAATCTTACGCATTGTGGAAGAAATTCTTACCTTATGTATTTATGACCATCCTAAACAATTTCTATGAAAATAAACACACAATTCAAAAAAAGTTTTATTTTATCACATTTAAAACAGTCTTCAATTTATATTCATTCCTATATATTTATTTTCTTTCTGAATTACAAATATCAGTGTAAATACCTTTGGTTTTCTTATGTCTCCATGCTGGCATTTTATATTTCGTTGGATTCCTAAAAAATTCCGAAAAAGAGCTGCTGCGAGATTTCTTTTTCTTCACTTTCTTTCCATCCGGTTCCGGACTTGTACAAATCACTTTTCTATTCTCAGTTTTATCCGAAAATCGTCTATAAATAATTGGTCTCTTTTTCTCAATTTCTTCGTAAATGTGACTAGAATGAACGGTTAATTCCTCCATACTCGCTGATCGAGCAGCTGCCGTGGAATATTTTCTCTCTTCTGCCGATGCTTCTGTGTTGGGCAATGTTAAAGATTCGTCCTGACCATTGACGTCACCATCAACTTGTGAATGAAGATTGTCAACTGTATCCGAGGGCGATTTGTTTTCAACTGGACAAGTGGCACAATAATTAGGGTTTTCTATCGCCACTGTCCTTTCTTCCTCTACCTTTATGCTGTCATATTCCGCATCATTGCACAATGCATCACACTCTGCGACACGGTCCTTCATCACTTCACATAAATCAATTTCATTTGACACGGGAGGTGTTTCGATGGTCGCTTTTACTGTGATGTGGTGACTAGTTTGACTGTCCTCACTGTGCACATCATTCGAAATATTTGCTGAGTTCTCATTTTCTGCAACAGTTTTTGCTCCCTCATTTAAGGATGAAATGTCTTCGACTTCCTTATCAGTAATTTCCTTATTATCCGCACTTTCAGGTGATTCCACTTTGGACACATGAACTTCCTCTTCAGTGTTCGCATTCATGCTGCTTCTTTCGTCAGTATTTTTTGTTTCATTGTTAGTGACTGTTGATTCTGTACCACTTTCTCCTTCTAATATATCAGTAACATCACTGTCTTTTTTTAAGTTGTCCTCAGTATCGAGAGTTTTTATTTCTTTGTAAATTTCAGCTTCTATTTTAGAGGAATGAAAATTTTCTAATTCTGAATTCTCAGTGGAAGATTCCAAATTTAAATCGCATGATTCATTATCGTCTCCTCTCTTCTCTCCATTAAGTTGCAACGTTAATTCCTTTCCTTCTATTTCTGGAGATAATTCTGAATCTTCCTGCTCAAATTTTAAATAATCGGTCACACTCTCGGTTTCAGCTTTGCTTTCTGGAGCTTGCTCCAGCGATACATATTCACCAGGACTCAATTTTCTTTCAACCATGGATATTTTCATCTCCTGCTTACTTTCATCACTGCCTTCCTCTTTTGAAATTGGTAAATTTAAATCATCTTTGTGTGTTTTCTCTTCGGAATTCGTATCCTTATTGTTAGTTTCTGCATTGTTTTCTTCGCTATCTTTCTCTGGTTTTTCTACTTCATCAACATTCACGGTGGGTGTTTCCTCAACTCTATCTTCATCAGGGTGTTTTTCCACCACTTCCGTTGCGGTTTCCGTAATCTCACCACTGTCTTTGGATTTTTTTGGTGTGGCATTTGGATCATTTTCGTCATCTGCAATACAATAAGAGAAGCTCATTAATAGTGATACAATGAATGAAATACAGTTTGTGTAAGTAATTCTTTACTCAGTGAAAATGAACTAATTTGTTGTGCGTTTAATTAAGATTTTAAATACATAGTTTTGCATGGTTATTACCTGACAAAGATATGATGTGTAAATCTTGATCAACATCTATGTGGATCTCATCATCAAATAGACCTGTTGTATAAAGAAAACATATTACCATAAATCTGGAAATTTCTACGTCGATTTTATTTTGCGAATTCGGGTCAAAATGCTGTTGATTAATTTTTATGTTTCAAAACAAATAGCTTTATTTACATTTTCTGTTGATGATTTATTTTTATATATTTGCTAAAAATTTATCTACAGCAAAAATTTCCAGATTTACGGTATACATACATGTATTTCTTTTTATACAAACAATATACCTAATAAATATCAGTAATAATAAGAATATATATAATTTATAACATATTTCGGTGAAGGACAAATGCATCATTTGCAAAGTATTGATGTAACAAGTAGCCCCTGGTAGTTGTTTTATAATTGTTTAACATGTGTGTCGCAAGCTATAACATATTCAAAACAATAGATGTTTTTTTTCTTTTGTTATTTTCATTCAGAGTACTTCAATACTAATAATTCATTTCAAGGTTCCTCCCGAGAAAAAGTCTTAAAATATTTAAATCTCATTATCATTGGCATGTTTTTAATACGCAGTTAAAATATGTCTATGTCAGTTTTCCGGTGTTTATATAAATTCTATTTGTGTACCTCTTTCTCCTACATGTGTGACCTCAAAGGGTTGTTTACACTTATCTGTCATACTGTCCTACAGTTGTTACAAATGTAGAAATTACCCACCTGAGGTAAATTTCGCAGTACATTAATCAATTTAAACATGAGTATGTCTATGAATATATCTGAACACCTGTTTGAAATTGGAATGCATGAATACTAATTAACCTCTCTCCATCTTATGATGGGAAACGAAAATGTTAGAGTGCATTAAGGTTTCATATTGCACATGTTTAAAATTATACAATTTTGATATTAATTGCAAACGGTTGTTGAGGGGTTTTAATCCTGAGTTTTTGAGCGAAATTTGTCTCTTTACTTACAAACTGACATGTTTAATTTGCAGCATAGTTTGTTTCTTAAAAACATATTTGGAATTTACAATGCACTTCAACTACAAGTATATTCAAAAAGTCTACGATTAAATTAAATTCTATTCATTTTAGATGAAATATTTCATACTGTGACCCAAAAAATACATTTTACTTAGTTTTAACAAATTTTTTTAAGCATTTAATAATGAACGCATAAACCCCAACTCTTTAGTTTATTTTCTGAATATAGACATAACTGCAGTATCTGCTTGAAATTCACAAAATTCTGAAGAATAAAAAAGTTTTATTGCTTGATACTTTCACATTCCAGAAAATTTTGCAAAGTAATTAAAATTTCTTTATCATAAATATTAAAATATCTGTGTAATATAGAGTAATTTTATATTTGGTACCATAATTAATTTGCATTATCTTTTATATTGATATAAAGCTGATTTATGTGAAAGGATGTTGTACCAGACCAGAGCTCCAAATTAAAAGAAACATATTGATGCCCATTTCCTTTTCCTAAACTATATGTGCAGATATGAAAGAAATGCATGTACAGATATTTGAATGATAAACTTTAATAAGAATTCAAAACAAATTATTGTAAGATCTAACTTTCTTAAATTAGCAACTCCATTTTTTTCAAAAAAGATACTGTATACAGGGAAATTTTCGCACCCGTTTTATTTTCACCCCTTTCGCCCTAACCTCGAGTGGGCGAATTTAAAAAAAATACTGTATAGTTTCTTTAACAAAAGTGTGATTTGGCGAATTTTAGACGGGGCAAAAGTGTTTTCAAGATGGAAAGGGCGAAAATAAAGCATGGCGAAAATAACCCTGTATACAGTAACTATTTTGTGTGTTGTGTTTCACTTTGTCTTAAAAATATTCTTACGTCCTATTTATGTCCCTATTTACGCAGCATTTTTTATATAACCAAAGATTATTTACGTTTAACGTAGCTTTCGTCAAATCAAATTTCAGAGTTGATTATTTATTTTGTAATTTTAATTTTTAAAACTAAATTTTACTATTTTCCATTCGGCTACAACATTTACCTACATACACTTATAACGTAGTTTAATTAAGTATCGTTTACGATGAAGTCAACAAACTAAAATCAAGGAATTTTTATGCAAGCCTTAAGGTAATTTTAATCTTTCAAATATTGTTTATCTAAAAATATGGGCGTCATCATGCAAATTTAGCTGATAATTTCAAAACGATTTATTTTTAAAAGCCAACTTTTGGATCTTAATCTAATGTGTTTGTTTTTTTGTCACGCAACTGCCCGTGGCGATATTTTTACTATAAATATTGTCATGATGATTATTTGTGACAAAGATGCTTGATCAAAATTAACCTAACGATAGTTTCGTTCTAAATTTTAGTTTTAAAATAAGCATTTTAATTCATCTGTGTTCTTTTTGAAGTTATATTTTTCATTAAAGGGACCCCAATTTTATTTTATTGTGCAGGAATATACGTCAATCTTAATAATGTTATGGAAATCTAGTTTCTCTGTGATAAGTCTCAATACAAAGAAACTTTTTAAATTACCACCTAAAGAGCTGAATTCTTTAAACATTAAAGAATAAAGACAAATGTATCTATATGTGACTACTTAACATTCATGGTTTACTTAGCATATGTTAACATGTAATTACCCTGGGAGTATCTTTGTTAAATTCATCATGTGTGGTCTTAAAGCAATGTTATACTAGTAACTTTAGTAAATACATGTATATCGTAAGTATCTGAAATTTCATTGCCATCGTTTTAAAGGCCTCACCTGATGCACAGTATTCATGATCGATTATTATATTTATTCTTTATAATATTCAAAATCCAATGTAGCTATATATACTTAAAAAAACAGTTATGAACTCCAAATGCATCTTGTTAATTGATAGTTGATTTCTATTCAATATTTTGACCATTTACTCACTTTTTCTGTAGTGTTGTCTAATTGGACTGCTAATCACTGGTCTCTTTTTACTTTTGCTGGTATGTAAACCAAGACTTTCCAGAAAAGAATTCCTCTTGGGTCTTTTTTCTTTCCCTCGGCCACGCATTTTCACATGAGTCGCCTCGGCTTTAGTTTTTTCACCTCCTTCCTCCGAGTGTTCGATATTTAATGTTGGCATACTTTTAGCCTCCAAAGAACGTTCAGGTATAATTTCTTCCTGAATTTCAGGGCATGTAGCCTCTGTTTCAGGTATGCTATTGTCAACTTCTTCGTGTAGAGAAGAGCCGCTTTGCTTTCTTTCTGTCTGCTTTTCATTTGGTGACCAGATATTCTTTTCTTCGTGGGGGCTTTTGTCTGATTTGTTAGAATGTGTTGATATTCGTCGTCTGAATTCCCCAACTCCAAAGAAGTCGGATATCTTAGCACTTAGACTATTTGTTCTCTTTTTCTTCTTCTTACGAGTGGGAGAGGATTTTGCACTTTGTGACGCTGTGGTAACACTCTCTGAATGGCTTCCAGAAGGATTCTGTAGCTCAGGAGAATCGTTTTCCTCATCTGGAAGTTTTCTTTTCTCTTGCCTTTGGATCACATCTAAGTCATGATCGGTACCATCGACAATGATATCGTTGTCGTCTGAACACGTCACGTCTATAACCACAGCTTGATTTTCGTTGAATTCCTCTTCTTCCAAATTGGGTTCACCTTTGATTTCTTGCACTGGTTTCTCATTAGAAGGAGGTTTGTCAGACTTTTCCTCAATTTCAATATTCTGAGGAAGATTTTTATTGACGCTTTCGACATCGTCAACTTTTTCGATCAACTTTGAGTCGTTTTCTGCAGCGTCGAAATTATCCGCGTTGTTCAAATGTGCCTTTTCTATATCAGAGTTCTGTGTAGTTTTTAGTTCAGTTTTGTCACTTGTCAATGTCAAACTTGCATTTTCTTTTTCTGCGATTTCCTCTGTCGCATTGTCTTGTATTTCTACGTCTTCTTGGGATACACTAGGAATAATCTCCTCATTCGGTAATGAATCTTTTAAATCCTCAATTTTTACATTTAAATTTGAATGTGTGTCAGATGTTGAATTTAGATCAACTTCATCAAATTCTGCAGCCGAAGAATTCGTTGAAGAATTTTCCTCTTTCGATTCTACAGTTTTGTCAGATTCTTTAGCACATTCTAAATCTTTTTCTCTGCATTCTACGTACGTCAGCAATGGATCAATGTTATCAGCACAGGTATTTCTAGTGTGCTGGCCCTCAGACGGAGTTTCCACGGCTTCTGTTTTGGAATCAACGGTGATTGTCACTTCTTGTGCTTTGCTTAACTGAGACTCTTTTTTCTTTGTTTTGCTCTTTTTAGGACTATGAAGCAAATATTTCAATATGCTATTCTTTTTCTTTACTTTAGTGGGCGATGTAGATTTTTGTGTGGATTCAGTTGGTTTTTCAATTTCCATTTTCTCACTTTGAGTACCCGTGCTTTCATTTGCGATTGGTTGTTCATGCAAAATGTCAGTATGTGTTGATTCAACACAACCTTCAAGTTCATGTTCAGCTGTTTCGTTTTTATCATCGCTGTTAAGGCCATTGTTAGTTTTTTCATGCTGCGTATCTATGTTAAAAGATGCTGTAATACTTTCCTCTCCATTCTCAGAAAGTCCTTCTTCTAGATCCGCAGGATTTTCTTCACCTTCATTTGCATCTTTAACAATAAGTCCCACATAAACCGGTCCCTGCTTTTCGGCATTGATGCTATCCTCAAAATCCGAAAGCTCGTCCTCTCGGGTAGATTTTGCTACAAGTTCCTCATCAATATCCGAAATTGCGTCAGAATCAATATCCTTATCCTCGGCAAACTCAGATGGCACATCGATCTTATTAGAGTAACTCTGCTTTCGAACAACATATGCATATTCATTACAAATTGCATAGGCTTTTTGAGTTGCCCCTTCGAAGGATATGCCATTGGTTTGAATAATGTTTACTTTGGTTCTGTTGGGTTCTTCCCATTCAAAAGCTGATTTTTCTTTTGTTGGAGAGGCATGGTTCACAGTAAAATCTTGTTCAGCTGCGTATGCCCCCGCTACTCGTGTTTTTGATTTCTCCATGCTCTCCCTTCGTTTCGGTTTGATGCTTTTCCATGCCTCATTGAATTTAACTCCAAACTTAGATAAAGGAGAATGATGCTTTTTCTTCGATTTTTCTCTCTGTTCCTCAGCAGAAGTCTGTCTCTGAATCTCATCTTTTTTAATAACTTCTGAAAGAACTTTTATTTCCAAATCATCAACGTTATCTTCCTGACCATTTGTGTGTTCCACAGGCAGATTCGCTTCTGCGTTTTCTACATGTTCTTCGGCATGAACTGAAGCAGCGGTTGAAGGTATTATTTCCTCGAGGACTGCAAAAGGCTCTTCCTCATTTTCCCGCGCTGGTTCTGACGGTCTTGTTTCACCAACAGTTATGATTTGTTTTTCGCTATTTCCATGCTCAAGGTCAGAATTTATAGTTTCAGAAACAACTGGTGAATAATTTCCACCATTTTCTTGCACCTGTGCTGATGCCATTGTTTCATCAGCGATCACTGCATGTTTCTCATTTTCCTGTTTTAATTCCAAATTAATTTCATCCGGGACTGAAGCATGGTTTTCACAATTTTCTTGTGATGGTTCGACTGATAAAACTTCTGCATTTTTCTTCACTTCCATTAATTCTTGGTCAATTTTATCACTTCCTTTCAAGGGGTCACCATTTTGTGCACCTTTATCACCACTATCAGAAACATCTGCTGATAATCCGTTCGTTTTTACCGCCAGATTTTTAGCTTTTTCAATATACTCATCAATATTGCTATTTCCCCGATGATATTTCACTTTTTCAACTCTCACAACCTCTTCGTCTTCTCCTTCTTGTGCAACACCTGCATGTATGTGTCCCTTCATATCTGAAGTATAGCCGTTACATAACGTGTTCTCCCTACGACTCATACAGCAGTTACTGATAGTCTTGTCAATATTTTGTTCAAGCACTTGATCACTTTCACCGGTCTGTCGATCTTCGTTATGAAATGCCTGGTCAGTTTTTATATCAGTGTTTTCATTAGATGTACTTTCAGTATCAGGCGACTGGAGGTATTCTACACAAGGAGTTAAATGAATTGTGATGGAACTTCGGAATGTCGGGGATTGTGGCGTGACGTCACACCCATTCTCTGTCATGCTATCATTGCTCGTTACGCCATTTTCTTCAATGTCCATCTCCAAGCTTTTCCGTAGTATTTCTGAAACTAAACGAAAATTTGCATAATTTACAAGAAACGGGATCTTTATGAACTGTTTTGGCAAAAAGCTGCAAAAGAACATTCGTTTGTTTTTTAAATACGAGAATTGATAACACTATTTAGGGATATTTTATGCAAATATATCTTGTTTGATATCAGATAGCTGAAATTATAGTGCATGAAATATCTTTCACACGGTCACCTAAATATTTTTCTCAAAGAAATTCAATACATGCATTTTTCTTTATAGTGTAATATAATACCATTCGTATGTTTATATATATCAGCCAAACACTTTCATAAGCATGTGTTACGGAATTTATTAAGCATATCATTGCTTGTTTTCTTTTTCATGAGACTTTTAGATATTTAAGAGAAATTTATTCAAAATTAAATTTCATGCCTTATAACCATCAAAGGCAGATGTTATCACTCAACAAAAGGCGGTATGTCAATACAAAATATTTCTTTATGAATGATATATATACAGATGCTCTTTGAAAAATAAAAACAAATTAAAAAAAATTATTTAAATACATTTGAAACTTTAAATCACCTTCCTTAGAAAAATTTAGACAGACTCAACAAAAGGTTGGAAGTCATTACAAAATATTTATATATATACAGATGCTCTTTGAGAAAAGTAAAACAAATAAAAAAATTATTTACACACATTTGAAACTTTAAATCAACTTTCTTTTATAGATTTGGGTCAGACGTACCTTTCAGAATACGGTCATTGGGTTGGTCCCCCTTATAAACTCCCCCGTCATCCAATTCCTTCTCAGGGAGGGGCAGAATCACCGGACTCTCAAATACAGGGCACTTCTCGGTCCTCTCCGGTGTGGAATGTTCTGTAGATGAAATAAAAATTTCAAAATTTAAAATTTCAAAACTTTTAACAAATTTCTAAAACATGACATACGTGTATCTATAGAGCATAGTCAACCTGCCGCTGAAAATCAAGTGAAGTTACAGTGACACAAGTGAGAGAGATTTTGTTCTTTTTTTCTTTACCTTTCCTATTGTGGTGTGTCGCTATCTAATACCTACGTTCACTTGTTGGGCTCGGGGTTTCAATTTACATACAAAATGAGGTACATTTGCATTATTCGACACCAGGTTAATGGGAAGCCTTGTTCCTACTACGCACAGTCTAACAATATCAGCGACACACAATCGGGTCGTTTGGGGAGCAATTGATTCAGACGCACAACAGATGGTGGTTTTGTTGCTAATTTCGACCACCAATTAATTAATTGGACAGCTTAATCAAGAGTGGTCATGTTCATTTCTCTTTAAATTCATTCTTGAAAATTTCTTTTTTCTGATTAGAAAAAAAAAAACATTTTGTTATTCACATGATTCAGTTGAACCAGTAATATATTTTAGATTTTTAAAAAAAAATATATCAATTTTTTCCAAAATAGTTTTCGAATACTCGTATTTCTTCTTGAAAATTTATAGCAGAGGAATATACGATATCAACATATAAATTATAATTTCTTAATTTTCCTCTGCATCTGGTTAAAACACGTGCATTTTCATCAGAACACCTGGTGTGCAAAAATAAAAAAAAATGTCGAATTATTGAATAAATACATATGACTGATTGACAGCCATATTTCATCCACTTTAACGCACGGCATTCCTCTATATAGTCATCAGGCTTTATCGCGTTGTTTATCTTCAATCATTCGGGCCCCTGGGGCCATGGCGGGCCACTATTTGTGCTATGTTATGGTCAGTTTAGCAAGTTTTTATGTGCTGTTTTAACCGTGTCATAAAGGTACCAGTCTGAGACGAAATAATTTGGAAAGTTATCTAAATAATCGATAGATTAGGATTTAGGTGGTAGAAAAATGTTATGATCTCCCTCTCTCTCTCTCTCTTCTCTCTCTCTCTCTCTCTCTCTCTCTCTCTCATGAAAAGAATAAACCATGCAAACTTAATGATATTTTCTCTTCTTATAAAAAATATGAGAGTCATTTGCACAGAACATTAAATCGCTACACCTTTTGTGACATATGCAATATTACTCTGTGGTATTGCGGTCACGCTGACCTAAATATTTATGCTATTGTCTCGTGTCAAATACTTGCCACTTCACCTTTTTACTAGTTTCATCCATCTACAATGTCTATTTGGTATTCATGTGCATTCATCTTAATTTTAAAAACAGAATTTTAATATCACTTCGCCCCACAGTCAGACTGTGGTTTTCGACATTCCAAGCCAGTATATGAAAAAGGATTTCGCCCCCATTGATTAAGAAAACACGTGTTAATTTTAAAGATTTTTAAAGCTTTATGAATTGAGAAATTCTTACATAACATGGCATGAATGACATTCTTATGTTAAAATATTATTCGCTGATAAAAAAAAAAAAACAGTTTACATATATATGTATATACAAGAGTAATAAAAGAAATTGTAATTCGTCCAGTGGGAGACAACGCCTTTCTACATGCATGTAAATCTAAAATCCATTTCTGTCATTCTGGAGAATTTTTGTATTCTTCACAGTGAAAAAGATTATTATAAGCATTTATTTCAAATGATAATTTTGGTAATAATTAAGTGGCTTATTCTGCAGTAGAGCTATTCTAAATATCTTGCTTAAAGGTTAACACTTACCATTCCCCATGTTGCTGCTTTAGGAATGTAATCTTTAAAAAACGGGCATCTGGGTCCTTTTCACAACATCGAAACTCTCTGGAATAAAAGAATTCATATTTGCATGAAACGAATCGGAGAAAGAGGATTTCCCTGTCGTCTGCGAAATTTTAAGTAAAATTATTCTTTCAACGGTACAGAGAAGTAAGCAGGATATGATTTACATTTATAACTGACAGACCGAAAGATCTATCAAAAATGTGAAGACATCGCTCGCATAACTCAAAATAATAGTCTTTGTCAAAGAAAACAGAACGTTACGAAGGTTCTATTCAAGTGCCTGAAAATGGCTCCGTAAGACGTAAATGTGTCACATTTTGTTACCAAACATGTAGTACACGATACCTGACACTATTTGCACCTGTGGGACGGCAATTATATCATGTACAACTGACCATCCCACCCACAAAACACTCCGCAGAAATTGGAAGTCCAACACAAAAAAAATGTGCAGAGAAACTAATCCTGGGTCTTTCCGCGGCCGACTATGGCGGCGCAGTATAATGGTCACACAAAAGCAAAATGACACATAAAGAAAATAACTTCACTTTAAGAAAGACTCGTTGTGGTTAAATTTATTATGCAAATCGAAAACAATACTTCATAAATCAAAAACTTAGGTTCACCTGAACAATTTTTAAAAAAAAAAAATATATACGTCGATCATATGTTTTATGTGACAAGCGAATGAAAAACATACATTTACTAAAATTTGCCTATGTTGTATTTTTTAGAGCTATCGCGATTTCTTTACTTTGAAGTCAAAAGAGTTTAATTAATCAATGCTTCTTTTTGATCTGTTATGAATATTAATGTTAAAAATATCTAATGATTATTATTGTTTGGACATTAACCAAGAATTTTACTTAAGTGAACCCAAAAATTTTGGGATATTTAAAGCAAATTAATATTAGATTTTTCTGTGAATCAAATTAACAAATGAAAGTGAGCTATAGGACCCCTCTATTGAAATTGTATGCAAAAAAATGCTAATTTCGTTCCGTAGTTATTCCATTTTCCCATCTTATATAGATTTTGCGAAGGTGAAACAAAATAGAGTTTTCAAAAATATGAATGATAGAATCAATTAAAAAAAAATGACGTTATTTTATACCGAAAATATCCATTCCTAAAATGCAAATTACACGTTTTAGAGTCCGAATTCTTAAAAATAAATCATAGAAACTTACAATCTCTCGATCGCCACATTCCATAAATTGCAATCGATATGTGGACAAGAAAGTGATGAAAAATACGAGCTTGGATCCACGATTACTACGTCATGCGACCTAATTGACAGGTTAAGATCTAGAAATTGACAACCTAATTGATTGGCAAAGTTACATATAAAGGCTTTACGTATGTGAGGTACATGGATATTTGGGTGAAAAGTTACTTCGACCGAATTAAAGAAAGTAGTAATTGTATTGATAAAACACGCGTATATTCACTTTCATTCCATTTCCCTTTGAATAATGTGTTAGAGTAAGATTCTTGGTTGGTTCTTTTATTATATCGCATTTCTCAAAGTCGGTGCTCAATAACTTGTAGATGTTTTTTCTTTCAAATTTTAAGGGTGATAGATAGATGTTTAAATACGATGATGATATACCTTTAAAAAATAGACATAGTTACTACGTCTTTCGTTTGCATTTCAGGATAAATTTGAGTGAAGACCTGCAAATGCTGGTATTTTTAAAATTGATTTGAATCCGTTAAAAAAGTATATATATTAATTTTAAAAAATATAGAGCAGTTTGCCTGGGATGAGATATTTTCACTTCTTAACAAATCGAACATTTCTTCATCAAAACTTCAAATAGGATAAGATTTAACTTAAATTTAAATTCAGGTATTCAAACGCAACTACATGTACACGATTTGTCGTATTTATGATATCATTAACCGATATATAAATATATAAATTACATATTTTATAATTTTTTTGGTCGACACTTAGTTTCTGATAACATTCTGATAATAAACCAGGTCAAAATTCCATCGTTTAGTGTTACAAAAGATAAAACGAAAGTGCTTTTTGTTGTACATACCTCGAAACTCTTAAGTTAAACTGTCGCCAGAAAAATCAAATAATATGATAGAATGCCAAAAAGATTTACACAGACATTATATGACATGTTGGTATCACTTTGAGATTTTTGTATGCGTTCAATAGTGTCATTTGCGGTGTCAGTTTTAAACAGCTACCATGGCATCGAAACATTTCAAATATCTTTTATTTTTGCTTGTAGTACATGAATTCAATTTTTGCTGTTCCTAGACACGACATAGCATGTAAGATGAATCAGAATTTACCCAGTAAAACAAAGGAAATACAATGAAATTAAGTTTATAAGAAAGGACCGATATATGTTATTCATTTCATTGAAAATTTACAATTTCAAAAAAAAAGTAAATAATTAACAGAAAAAAAATAATAGGCAAATTTTATTTTTAAAAATATATATATACTTAATTGGATGAATGTGTTGATATTTTTTTCCTTTACTAAAACACTTTCCTATTGAATGATCAGCTTATAATCACTTTATTGTGAAAAACAGAGTTGCAGTTTGTGTCGGCTTAACAAGAAAATTGTTATGGTTAGTTTCTTGAATTTTCCAAATTCTTGAACTTTAATGTAACATATATATCATTCAAAAATACGAGTACATCCGGTTTCTGAGAACCTTGAAATTTATCCTCTATCCGGAATTGACAAGCTTATGACCCTGTTTGGTATAAATGCACCAATTTGAAATATACGTTTTCCAAACCTGAGTCATGTTGTACACTCTCCAGAATAATTTACATGCGCAAAATTTTTATGCTTCCTTCTCGTACATTGCCAGATGACCTTCAAATGTCTTTATATATAATAAGACGTCACAAATAAGGCCCTTGCTTTCGATTCATGGACCACAAAATTTGCCTAAACTAGAATCAAGTTTTTATATTAAAAAAGATGAAAAATTAAAAATACATCTATCTTTCTCCTTGTTGAAGTTCCTTGAAACTTTAAAAGTAGGTCAGTAAATATTGAATTAATCCCCCCCCCCATTTTTTACCGATTCTGATATCATTTCAGTTCGTTCAATTTGTTTCGTAAAGTTTTCCACATGTTTACAGGCCCGAATGCGTTCTTCAAAACCACGGCTAGTAATTTTATTACTCTTTGGGTTTTCAGAATATGGAATCCGAACAGGGCCACGTAGTTTACTTTCGCATTACCGCGATTATCGACCGAAGGGTGGATGGCGCGATGAAACGATGACGCGACGGTGCTATAGCTTGATAATGATGTGAGCGACAATGCGATTTCGATGGTGCGATATCGTTTCATCGTCTTTGTACCAAGGCGCCATGGCCATCACACCATCGCTTCACGTTGTCATCGAATTACCATTACTATATTGCTGCGTCATTGCAACATCGACAAAGCGATATATCGATCCATCGCTCAATCGTCACAGTGCCAGTGCTTTATCGTCATTGCATTATTGCATCGTCACACTATCGAACCAAACTTCCATCCAGATTCCATATATTCGAGTCTTCAGGAAGCTCTCAACACTAGACACTGAAGAGTTCTAATCCCTTGATAGTTCCGATACAATTTGAGTGATGTACCCTTAGACATAAGATATAGATTAAAAGGAAATCTTCAGAGATCGGCATAATTCATTGAAGATTAAAGTGTTCTTGGCATAAAATAACAAATTAAATACATGTAAATACACGTACTCGTATTTTAACATTTTTCTTGAGAAATATTCCAAGTACCATATGTTGAACATGAACTAAGAAGTCCAATACATAAATACATTTTAATATTATTCAATTTCTTTGAATTGAAAAAAAAAATTTAAATTTCATTTGTGTTTAGAGCACCTCTGCACCTCTTAAACTATCAAGAGTGTTCCAAGGAGGTCAAGGAACGCATGACTATTGTGTCGCCTCCTTGACATGTATCTAACATCATTAAAGATTAAAACAAATTTAAGGGTGGTCAGATACCGGTATCTATTTGCTACAAGCATTATATTTAAGGCATATTTTTTGGTCTTTTATCTATACCCATTACTCAAATGTTGCAATTAATTACCCTTATCATTTTTTATAATTATGGGGTTCTCTTCCCCTGTTCGGAAAATACACAATGCTTTTCACCTAGAGACCCGATGGATTTGCTCGTTGATTGAAAGAAAGACGACAACACCTCTATTCTAATCGGTTGGAACTGCAATCGACTAAGAATAGATTTTTTATTTCAAATGTTATTTTTAAAGTCGCGCACAGGGGTTACGAAGTGAAACGTCCCGGGGGATTATTTTGATAACATGGCAATTAAAACTTTATTTCAAATTATTTTTTGAAAATATCTGGGCCAAAATTGAGAAATTTCAAAATTGTCCAGTCAACGAGTATTATAATAGTTAAACTTCACAATCTCTAAATTTAATATTGATTTCAACCTTGTGCGTCAACCCCGCCCCACAAAGACCTTATTTATGACCCTACCTTGACAAAAATACTGGACCAATAAAAAGGGGGGTTTTGATGTGCAAGCTGTAAAAAATATTATGTGGAGAGAATAAAAATCATTATAACAGAAGTCGACCGCGCGAAACGAGGACTTGACATTGATCATAGGAGATCTCGAAATAATCGCCGGCCGTGGACAAAAACACGACACTTTATAGTGCACGGTGGTTGTAAGTAACTGGCGCAATGATAAACCATGAACGTTTGACCATAACAAACGCCAAAGTTATTAAATGAACGAAAATAGTTTAGGACTCGCAAAGAAGGTTTTTTGGAATAAATACTTGCCTGATGGCCTTTCGTTTGTATTACTTCTGATGGTTCGTACGGGAGCGCCGTTTTTTTTTTATTTATATATCTTCCCCGCAATTTGTTCTAGATACCGTGTTTATATATTTTCATTCAATTAAATATTAGTTATATCTTGGCATTCTTTTCAACATTTTCCATAAAAATGCAATATACATAAGTATAGAAGGAGTCCATCTCAATAAGTCAAAAGACAAAAAAAAAATTGAGACACTCATAACGTAGAAAAAGAATTCTAAGCTGCCTTCACAACCACACATAATTATACAGTCATATATTTTCTATTAATATTGAGTCTTTCTTTCATAAAAATTCAGTACATGTATACACAAACATTTTGTATAAATAGATCAATTTGACGTGAACACGAAAAATGGAGTCCCTGAATGCATATCTATATTATATAGAACTAATATTCAGTTCTCCACTATTCCCACCAAACCCCACCCAGCCCCTCCCTTTTTCCCCCAAGTTATTTGACACTATGTTCTTCAAATTATGTAGTTCCTTATTTGCTAAAGAACATCAGATCACCCTACCTGATTCATGTACCAAGTTGCCTTATGACAAATCACAAGAATTTCAAACACAAGTTTCTATTCGAAGATATAGTGCATGTAATTTTGGTATTTTTGGTTCCCGAATTTAAATAAAATTTGCATGGTCAGACGATACCGTGAAAAGATATCTGTCAGGTAGGAAAGGAAATCGACATAATTGTACTATTAGTCACATAATAAAGGTGAACTTCGAAACCATTCTTTCTTCCCCATATTTTTCCCAAGAACACCGTATTCTATTATCATCACTTTTATAATACATGATATCTAATTGTAAGGAGACACTTTTTGTAGGGGCTTTGCCCTTGAAAAGGACAAAAATTATCCAATTTCAACATCAATTATAAATCCACTTCTCAAATTAAAGCTTTTAAAAATCTGACTTTAAATATAATGAATTATTATGTAAAGTAAAATGCTAATTCTTTTCAAAAGTGTTTTTCTTTCATAAAGTATGTGCATTATGTAACATACGTAAGAATGATATATGGACCTGTGCAGGTATTTGCAAATATATAACAGTCAGACTTAAGGTACATTGATACTCTGATAAGAGAGATAACTCTTAATGACACAAATGTCTGTTATTCCTTTATAAATTTGTCAAGTTTAAGTGCCTTTTTTGTCAAATTTTGCCCCGCAAGCCATGCTATAACTGTTTGTATTCTATTCAGCTAGACATATCCTTTGGAAAATCATAAAAGTTAAAGAAAAAATTCATATGAGTGAGCAGAGGGTTTATGAACCTTAATGATTTTTTTTCTTCTTTTCTTACTGAAAGAGAGAAAGAGGAATGGGGTCAGTTTTTGCCACAGCTTTTAGAATGGGATATGTACATGTGTAGCTTTCTCATCACAGTTATTAAATCCAAAAGTACAATTAAGCACACAATATAACCCACTAAACTTTAGGTGCCCCCTTCAATTTAATAGAAATATGTAGTTTCTCTGTTAATATTAATCCATGTACACGTAAACAAATAAAGATACATAATGTGACTTATTGGTAGGGGGCCCTCTCTCCTCCATGGCACCTGATCCAACCTCTTACGTTTTAGAGATTCGTGTTTCCTCTGCCCCAAAATTTGTATTGTTTAAAGGAGCTTGAATAATATTCGTTATCTCCATATATAATTTTCATTCACAAAAATATTTTGTCTAGTAAATGTAACTAAAGCTTACTCTTTCGCATTGATGTTTATATTCGTTTTTACCCGGGCTTATTGCTCAAAGAGCAATTGCCGGCTTATGTGATCCTGTTCAAAGCAGGATATTAACCCCATAGTCGCCATTTTAAAGTTACGTGCAAAATATAGTTCTTACTCTCAACCGCTTTTGAGATAATACAAACGCTAAATAAAGCAACAAAAATAAAACGAAGTTTCATCTATATAAAATAAACATTAGTAGTAATGACTTTGAAAACTTCATAAGTCAAAGAACATAGTTCATTAGCGTATATAATTTTACACATACGAGGTAAAGCACAAAAATGGCCTGTTTGTTTACATTCAGCTGCGGTACCAGATTAATTCTGATTCTGGCAAAATCAGACTGTGGTATTAGGATTGAAAAACTCACTGTCAGTGTGTTATCATTTATATTGATAGTTTTAAAATAATTTTTTCATCAGAATATAAACATGATTCGTGTAAGAAATCCATTCTACTTTGTAAATGAGCCCGGCTCTCTGTACTTCTGAGTACTTTGATTATTTTCTTGTATACATTCTATTTATTCTTTGTAATCACACCCACTGGCAAAACTATTCCACTCATTCTTATGAAGCTTATATTTCATTCAACATTTATGTCATGGTTGAATTAATTTTTCACGTTCGACAATTTTACCGATCAATTTAACTTGAGACTTTACTGTACTAATCTCATGAATAGATTAAATTATTTCTAAAAGTACATTTGGTTACTAAAATTCGTTTGGAAATTAAATGATGTTTCAAATAAAGTTATTTTTGTTTTGAAGTATAAGGTTTACATAAACTTAAATAACTATACTAAAAGAAGCCTCAGGTAGAACTTAGCATGATTAATGTTAAAACTTTTACAAATCATTAATAAAGAGATAAATTGCACTTTACTTACCTGAAATGCATGATGTTCGGAAAAATCTCTCGAAGTATTTTAAATAATTTTCATTAATTCTTTTTCACTGCTTTCAATATTTTCGATGCCAGTCCCAAAACGTCTAAAATTCTGCCGATATGTTATGGTGTTGTATAAGAATTAAGACGTGTCATATACGATAATTTATTCCATAGTGGTTAAAAACTCGGTATAATACATGCATGCCGAAAGGTAAGTATGATAAAAAAAAAATTATATTTGCATTCCATGAATGCACGACCAAAAAAAAAAATCCTTGAAGGTGTAATTGAGATTTTCGAAAGCACGTGGATTTTTTGCGTTCGTTCACTTACAAGAGAGGTGTTGATATTTAATTTTGCTAGTTTTTCCTTTTAAAAAGTCCTTCATTTGCCTTACACGCGTTTAAAAAACTGTAAGTCTTGTACAAACTTTTATTGTCCCCATATCACTGAATCGAACTGATACTTTGTTTAAGGGATAACTTGTTATTAAATCAAATGTTACTACATCAAGATAGCCTTTGTAATGGAATCATTCATTAACTCTGAAAAATGTAAGTCAAACAAATAGGAATATTATCACAATACTACATCAACAGCTGTTTTGCGTGATGACCATCGATAAAGTTTACAGGCCCTTGACTATAGGAGAGAACCCCAAATCAAAACCAATGCACGCGAGCTTTGTATGTATAGTATAAAGGGGGGATACGGTGCTCTGTATAAGTTTATAGAGGATTGAATAGACTCATGGAATGTTGAATTCGTTATCGCTGTTGAGATGTCATTTAATATAATTTGGTCGGGGTATTGTTCTAAAACTATACTGGAAGAAAGAAATTGTAGAAAATCGAGTTATATAGCGTGTCCGTTATGGAAATAAAAACCCTTAGGTTTTTACCAAAAACTGGAAACTTAACTGTTCTCAGATGATCATGATGTTTTACGAGATTCAGTTCAATACCCTTGTACTGTCCCTAATCGGGGCGGATCAAAGATTATTTTTTTTAATTTTAGGGAGGGGGTGTTACAAATAGTTAAAACTTTAATGACGAAGGAAACCAACGGCGGGTCCAGGGATTTTTTTTTCCAGGGGAGGGGTGATCATTTATCCATTTCTTTAAAAAATCGAAAATGAGACCCAATTGCAAGCACAAAGAAAGAAGTAGGAAGTTGATGTAGTGGGATACATGTACCTTATATCTTTTTCCTTTGATACATACTTTACAAACTTAACTCTGCAAACTCACAGTTTCTGTCGTTGAGAGGAGTAAGTAGCACATGTTTTATGCAATCGGAACAGCACTCGGCCTTTTCCGTCAAGTCGAGAACTTGACGGAAAAGACCGAGTGCTGTTCCGATTGATGTTTTATGAAACTTGTACATTTTAGATTTTATTTTTAACTTTAAAAACAAAAGGGTTTCCACACCTTCTTCAATCTTTAAACGCCCTCTTTTAGTCTTTTATAATTAAATTACATGTTTAAATTAGTCAGTTAATAAAATAATACAGAATTTTACAAATGGTCATAAATCAATGCACTTTATAATTATTTTAAGCATATCCATTACTACATGTATGAAATATCATTCAGACAACAGTAAATCTATTGAACGTTTGATAAAATATGAACAAATAGAGAAAAGTAATTTATTCTCTGCAGCACTTATTGATTCATCCTCCCTTAATTAAAACATGTGTATCTGATATATGAACAGTTTGATTTATCGGCGCCGTTTTATCAATTAAAATGATTCATTTACATTCCTACATTGATTAGACATATCACTTTGAACTCAAAATAAGTGACACCACAAAGTGTGAAACATCGGCTTCGTATTTAATTATGTGAAATCCACTCCTCCAGATGGATTTTCCTGATTCAGGCTCTTTTGCATCTGTGTCTTACCATTTTCTTTTTTTTTTTCTTACAGTAAGTGGTATGCCTGCATGCAGGGTACATACTTCTATAGACTGACATACATAGATATTTTACTAAAAAAAGAAATTCTGTATTAATTGCAAATTAGCAACTATACTTTCCTATACGCGTATTTACTTTCTTTTTTCTCTCCTAGCGTCCTTGATTTACATTTATGTATTCATGTGCATATGGTCTTCAATTATGTCTCACTGCTTAATTGATTCGATATACTAACAAGCATGTTTTATTAAGAATTTATAATCATGTACCTATACCGCACAACTACAAGAATAAGTAATTTCATATCAGATAAGGAATCAAATGACCAAAAAAAAAAACTGCAAAATTCTAGAGATAAAGCCTGTAGTAATATACATACTTCTGTTTTTCTCTTTCTCTCTCTCAAACAACTAAATCTCATTTATGAGATTGATGGACTCTTTAAATTTAAAGAATGAGTTTTATGTTGTTTCCCTGTCATTGTAGAAATCAATTTGACTGATTACACAGTGTTGTGGTATGGCATTAAATTGGTTCTGTGTAAAAAGAAGGGATTGTTGACAAACAATGATATATTGCTTGTTTCGCTCATGTATCCTTTTAAGAACAGATCACAGTTTATGATAAAAGTTCTGAAACAAGTTAAACCGATGCAGATCATCAAATCGGCCACAAAAAATCTAACCTCCTTCCCTGCAGTCACACATTTTAACGCATTATATACCGTGATACCCTTTACCCCTACAGTCAGGCGTTTTAACGCATGTACACCTTTTCCCCGCAATAATGTACCTTTTTGCTATAATAACGCGTAATGTCTTTATGTTATGATATGTACGTATGATTAGGTAAAAGATTTTGTATTACTATTCTAAAATATATCCCAAAGTGTAGTACCCCCCCCCCCACCCCATTTTGATATGTCCAAGTCGTTCAATTTATAAATCGGAATGTACGTAGGGGGAAGTCTTTCGCAGAACGATAAAACGTTCGCTGAACTAGGACCTTAGGTCCCCTACTCAGTTCACGTCTATCGGGCCTGTTTACTCCGCTACAAAATGTAGTACGTTGCATACGTGAAGTGAAAATAGAATAAATCGTAATACTGCGAAGCCTTTTCAGTGTAAAAAAAAAAAAAACAACAGAAAATTTATTTTTGTCAAGGGAATAACCATTTGACGGGTATTAGAAAACAAAGAGGGGGAGGGGGGTTGCTGAGCAACATTAACTGCAATATCATAAGATATATGATATATAAGATTTAACATTTATGGATTATGTTGGGTGACCTGTAGTCTCCCCTATGATTTTATTATTCCATGTAAGGTTATAGTATCTATATAACACAGTGCCTAACCTCTGATCTCCTTACTAATAGTAAGCGACTCAGAGTAAACGATGTCCAGTCTCTGCATTCGCAGATCTCTTACAAGCAGGGGGATGAAGATTTTGCCCCCTACCACCCCCTACCTTTTCATTTAGCTCGGACTTTTCACCAATCCTTTAACATAATGGAATAATTATTTGTTAATAAATTATTTAATGCCTCCTTTGTCTTCCTTATGAGGTCATGCTTCAATAGGCGACCTCATCAGTAGGGGGACCAGAGGACAACTTATATTGCACTTTACATTAGAAGGGGGAACAAAAGTTATCTTATATTCTAAATCAGTAGGGGGACCAGTGGTCATCTTATTTGTACATCAGTAGGGGGCCAAAAGACACCTTATATTGTACATCAGTACGGGGGCCAGAGGTCACCTTATATTGTACATCAGTAGGGGGACTAGAGGACACCTTATATTTTATATCAGTAAGAGGACCAGGGGTAACGTTATTTTGTACATGAATAGGGGGACTAGAGGTCACATTATATTGTACATCAGTAGGGGGACTAGAGGACACCTTATATCTTATATCAGTAAGAGGACCATGGGTAAGGTTATTTTGTACATGAATAGGGGGACCAGAGGTCACCTTATATTGTACATCAGTAGGGGACATCAGTAGGGGGACCTGAGGTCACCTTAAATTGAACATCAGTAGGGGACCAGAGGACACCTTATATTGTACTTCAGTAGGAGGGACCAGAGGTCACCTTATATTGTACATCAGTAGGGGGACCAGAGCACATTTTATATCGTACATAGGTAGGGGGACCAGAGGTCACCTTATATTGCACATCAGTAGGGGGACCAGAGGACACCTTATAGCGTACATCAGTAGGGGGACCAGGTGTCACCTTATATTGAACATCAGCAGGGGTACCAGAGGTCACCTTATATTGTACATCAACAGGGGGACTAGAGGACACCGTATATTTTGTATCAGTAAGAGGACCATGGGTAACGTTATTTTGTACATGAAAAGGGGGACTAGAGGACACCTTATATTGTTCATCAATAGGGGGACCAGAGGTCACCTTATATTGTACATAGGTAGGGAGACCATGGGTCACCTTATATTGCACATCAGTAGGGGGACCAGAGGACACCTTATATCGTACATCAGTAGGGGGACCAGGGGTCACCTTATATTGAACATCAGCAGGGAGACCATAGGTCACCTTATATTGTACATCAGTAGAGGGACTAGAGGACACCTTATATTTTGTATCAGTAAGAGGACCAGAGGTAACGTTATTTTGTACATGAATAGGGGGACCAGAGGACACCTTATATTGTACATCAGGAGGGGGACCAGAGGACACCTTATATTGTATATCAGTAGGGGGACCAGAGGACACTTTATATCGTACATAGGTAGGGGGACCAGGGGTCACCTTATATTGCACATCAGTAGGGGGACCAGAGGTTACCTTATATCGAACATCGGTAGGTAGACCAGGGGTTACCTTATATTGTACATCGGCAGGGGGACCAGAGGTCACCTTATATCGTACATCAGTAGGGGGACTAGAGGACACCTTATATTGTACATCGGCAGGGGGACCAGAGGTCACCTTATATTGTGCATTAGTAGGGGGACCAGAGGACATCTTATTTTGTACATCAGTAGGGTGACAAGAGGTCACCTTATGTTGTATATCAGTAGGGGGACAGTAACGTTCGTCACTAGGTGGACCAGAGGTTAATTAATATTATACATCAATAGGTTGATCAAAGGTCACTTTGTATTTTATTTCATTATGGAGACAAAAGGTTACCTTTATATTGTACAACAGAAAGGTTTCCAGAGGTCACCTGATACTGTACAAGACCAGA